AACTTTATGATAAGAAATAGAACTTCACTTCGTCTGTATTATTATTTTAGATGTAATTCGTTTCTTGTGGTTATTTGCTTAAAACTGGTTATTTATGAACGAATGGCTAAACTACTGCGAATACCCATAGAAAGGTTAGTGCTAAAGCTATTGCATTATATTGGTTATTCCGCTTATGAGCACTTCTTTGCTGCTTAGAACGACCATATCGAAAAACGATACCGTGACACAGGAATTTATTGGTATATGGATCCATTCGATATCTGAAGACAATAGTACGACACATAGTCGATTAAAATCTTTTTTTGATCACTTAGTACCACTTCAAGATATTTGTGAATGCATTGCTTACATAGTAAAAACTGAAATCAAACAAATCTTTTTGATTGTATCCGTACGATTATTTAAAATCAATTTTATTAAATCGATGATTTCTCTTGTTCACAATCGAACAGAAATACAATTCATTTATATTTTTTGTGAAGATACAACTGAATTAGACGAATGGGTAAAGCAAGAGTCTTATACGAAAATCCAAGATCGAGTTTATATTGATGAAAATATTCTTTTCGAACAACTAGAAAAGGACCTTCCTGTGCCGAAACAGCTCTTAGCAACTTCAACCAAAGAAGAGCGGAGGCCGCTAAGCTTGTTTAAGAATAAAGATAAAGATACTTTAATAAGAAATCTTAGTGAAGAATCTGTTGCATTCATTCGGTATCAGCTACTCATTGAAATATTACTTCGTATGCCATTATCGGATAAAGCTAAACGCATTATGTTAGAACATTGTCGAAGGTGTTACGACGAGAATGATCCAGAACAAACGCGTATTACTGAATTTGAAAAGACATATCGGATTGGCGTACTAGGTACAGCAATTCGTTGGTATAGTCGTCCGTGTTTTCTAAACCGTTTATTAGCAAAGGCTATAAGCACACAAGATGCGCATTATCTGTACACGTTTCGGTTTATTATTTCGGAATTGCATAATGAGTTACGTTCATTAAACTTGGTTAGAACTCAGTCATTGCCATCAAAACTCTTTAGAGGTACAGTTCTGTCAACAGATATCCTAGAAGATCTAAAGAAAAACGTTGAGGGACTTGTATCGATGATTGGATTTTTTTCTGCAACTACCAATCCAGCAATAAGCGACATATATGCAGGAGCTGGTCCGCTTCCGACAGATGAGAAACATGTTGTATTCAATTTAAACGTTAAAGATGGTGTCACAACAAAGCCATTCGCCAGTATTCGACAATATAGTGTAATGCCAGATGAAGATGAAATCCTGTTTTCTCTCGGCACCGTATGGCGTGTTCTAAATGTCAAGCTGAATGAAAACGAAGTATGGAATATAGACTTAGAATTAAGTAAAGAAGATGACGAACGATGCATTGAACTGTCAGAATATTTGAAAAAACAATTCGGAGACGTACCAACCCTGTTAACTCTAGGAAACTTTTTATCTTCAATCGGCGAGCATGAAAAAGCTGAGAAATACTATAGATTGTTATTGGACGAACTACCCAAAGATCATAAAGATATCGGAGTGATTTATAATAATATTGGCTTTATACGCTACGAAAACAAAGATTTTTGTGGAGCAGAAGATTGGTTTCAGAAAGCAGAAAAATTTTTCGAAAATATGAATAAAACAAATGCTAACACTGATAATAAATTACATGTTGATATAGTTAAATATAACCATGATCTAGCACGTTGGACCACTAATAGTGCCCTTTTTTCAGCTACATCGTTGAGATGTCACAATGAAACACTTGAATGTATAACCAAATCTTTACAAGCAGATCATTCATCGTCAGTTGCAATCATGGTTAACAATAAAGGTCTGATTCATTATAAACGAGGTGACTATACAACGGCATTAAACTGTCTCATTGAAGCACTTAAAATTTTAAATGAAAATAATGCACGTTATCCTCCAGACATATCAGCGGTACATAATAATATTGGTGCGACGTATTTCAAACTGGATGAACACGCTAAAGCTTTAGAAAATTTTGATTTAGCTATTAAGGTTGGCCTAGAATTGTTGCCACCGACACACAAGTGGATTATTGAATACACGAATAATAAAGCAGCGGTGTTGAAAGGTATTAGCTCTAGTCAAAGCATCAGAAATTGAATTCGAATAATCGAACAACCACAGGCTAATATTGTATAACTCTCGTAACCTCTGTAGTTTCTCATCTTTTATAGTAGCACAGCGATCACGCACTTTATTTAAAAATTAAAGCAAGATTTCTACAGAAGTTTCCTACATTCTTCTTTTCCAAAGCTACACGATGTTCACAGTTGATAGTATTCGTACACCCGTGTAAAGAAACACTAGTTTGGTGACACCTTTCAGAAACAGTTTCAACGCTTCCGATTCGCAAGTTTGAGAATCTTCGAGTGGAACTCCATCCACAAGAGCAAATGCATTTATATAATCAAACGCTGAAGCAATAAATAGAAATGCTAAAAACCCGCCAGTAATAATTTTATCGAATAATGATAATGGCACATTTGATGAATAATATTGATGAATTTCTTCTGTCAATATATTCCCATCGTAAAAACTTTATTTTGAATCTAACAACTGAAGAACAGCTTGCATTACATTCTCTTCAACATCGTGATGATATTATTATTCGTTCAGCGATAAAAATGTTGGTGGTAAGATTATTATTGTTTGACAATGGAAAATGAACGTTTATTCCATTTAATGATATGTTCTATAGAAAAAGATAATATATTTAAAAGAATTGAAAAGAATTTAAGGGAAGGGTCTCCCTATTTAGATTTTCATATAGTGTTCCCAGTTTGTGGAGGATACTCCGAAGTATATGTCCTCAAATTTTTTCGGCCTGTTGACATTATTTGACTGGAAAAAAAATTAATTACTTAAAAAAATATTGTTAAATGTTTGAGCATGGGGCTATTATTACAAAATTTCCTGTCCATTCTCCATTCATCATAAAATCTTCGTTCTTGCCTAGATGAATAGCGAAATGTGTAGAGAATATTTACTACAAGAAAATAAACAAAAATTTTTGTTCTTTCCTTCCTGTTATCGACTAATTAGTACTAATTAACGTTAATTTAGCCTACTCTACTAGATTAAAGTCCCATTTGTAAAATAACGACTCAACAAAATAGTTCACTCAATATCTCATCTGATACAGAATTTCCCGGGCTACAAGATATGCTACCTTAGAAGTTTTAGAATTCATTTTTGGTTCTTGAGTAGGTCTGGGTTCTGTCTGGGTTCTCAACATTTGTTTAGATAATTAATATTTTTCTCAGCCAGATGATGTCAGTAAGCCGAAAAACTTCAGGACACATACTTCGAAGTATTCCCTACAAACTGGGAACACTTGAAGAAAAAATGCAAAACTTGAAAATATCGCTGGTTTTGGACTCAGCGAAGATTTTTTCACCTCACCTTACGGCTACTTTCACCCGAAGCAAGCATTTTGAAGCAAAACTTTGGATACAAAAGTTGTTCAGAGTCGAATTCTGCAGTCCCTCACGAGAGCTTTTTTTTAAAGTTTTCTGTTTCTGGTTTTTAAATTAAATTTTACGGTTTTTAAAATTATAAAATTTCATATTTTTCAGAAAATTTTATAAAAAGCTCTCGTGAGGGACTCCCGAATTCGATTCTGAACAACTTTTGTATCCAGAGTTTTGTTTCAAAATGCTTGCTTCGCGCGAAACTAGTCGTAAGGCTTTTTTCAAAATACTTTTAGCTCTAAACTTCCTCGGAAAGGTGAAAGTTAAATTTCTCT